TCATTAATTGCCCATGTTTTTGTTCGCAATAACGTTTACGCTCGCTACTGATTTTATGCCGCACATTTTTGATATGCGCTACATTCATACAACATATGTACTATACATACATATATGCTCTTACATGTAGGTATGTATCCAGTTGCTGATCAATTGAAATTTTCATTGCGCTAGTTGAGTGCCTGAGTGGATGCCGCCGCAGTGTTTGCATCCCTTCACTACGCCGCTGCAACGCTCCTACTCCGCTATATGTAACATACATACAGAGTAGTAAATATGTAGATTGGCGTGCGTGCTGATCAACAATAAACAATTTTATAAATAAACATCATTAAATGTTGCACGACGCACCGATTGCACTCAAATCCATTCAATTTCACTGCTCCACTGAATTCGGCATCGCGTATTTGAGTTGAAAAATGACGGAAAAAATCTCATTTCGTTGAAATTGCGATCGCTAGCTCAATTGGGCGCTATGTAGAACAATTCTTGCCGCGTAGCGGGCGTGTTGTTGTGTTGCAACGATCGAGATTTTTGAAAGTTCTGACTTTCTGGCAATAAGGTGCTAACGCCCGAGCGCTGATATTACAGTTATTAAGTGATATTTTCAACAACATTTAAGATTTAAATAGTATATGTGTGTATGTGTATGCGTGAAGTGCGCAATACTTGAAAAAGTGGCGAAAAGTATAAAAAAGTTGTGCTAAACATTGAAAAAAAGATTATGGTCCTGCATGAGTGTCTAGTGAATATACATACATAGGTACATATGTACTTACATATGAGCATACATATGTATATGTATGTAAATTTGTGAGGAATGTAATACAATGAAAAAAATAATTGATCACTAAAGATCCGGAACTCTTGACAAAAAAGGCAAGTAGTAATTCATTTAGTAATGTGGGATTTAATAATCCTCAGGAACAAAGTCTAGTTCAATTTAAATATGGGAGCTGTAAATCAGTAACAATTGTAGTAATAATATCAAAGTGTTGAAAATGGGGTTTCATCTTGGTTACCCATTAAGGTCTATTTCATAATAAATGTGTCTAATCAAGTTTATTTTTGTCAGTCTCTGAAGAATTATTTTGTATACCGCATCTTGCAGAATATTGAAATGATCGAAATCGCAATAACGTGATAATTATCGTTGTTAACGGTATTATGCAAAGCGGCTTAGAAAACCTTAGCTCTTAAAAAAAAATTATTAAATTACCTAAGGATAATGATTTAATAGGTAGCCGAAAATGTCTTTTCGTATTCTAATCAAGCTTAATTTTTTTTATATATTTATACTAATCAATGAATAAACAAATATTTACCATTTTAGTCGACAATTTTTGCTTCAGAGACCTTGTTTCATCAGTATAACACTTTCATCAGTGTAAATCGAAATTTCTAAAACGAAAGCGATCGAACCATTGTTGTGCTACACGAACTGATACAGCATCATCTCCGTAAACTTTGCAAAATTTATGGCTTTCGTGGGACTTTTCCCTTTATTATATTTTTTATAAATTTCAAATAATAACTAATTTCTTTATTATTTTCACTCATTTTTTAACAGCTGCAACTTTTTTTCAACTTCCCCGATTCCTTTTTTTTTTTATTAAGTAAAGCTTAGGGTCTCACCTTTCTAACACTCTACGGCATGATACAATGAGATTGATAGCACTGGAGATATACTACTCCAACGACATCTACTGACAAAATACGAAAATACTTTTTCGACTACCCTATTCGAACCAAATCGTTTCTAATTTTTTCCATTATGTCTAAGAAAAGGGATAGTTTTGACCCTTGTTATTCTCCAGTAGGTTTGAGCAAACAATTTAATTCCCTTTGAGCCTTACTGAGCGTCACTCCTCTTATGAACAATTGAAAAGCGAAAGTATTTGCGGCTTAAGTTAAATGCTTGTACATACTTACATATTTATGTATGTATGTGCGAATGCATGCTCAAGTATAAATATAAGTACATATGTATGTAAATGTATATAATATATGTACATGTATCTAGTAATAGACAAGCATACGCACAAATGCATCTTCTGCCTGGACGCACAACGGCAACGCGATTCAAACTGAATTGCCAGCGTCTGCGCAACATATGTACGACTTTATGGTTCGTGCGTCTGGGATACTCCTTCAAATGTAACCTTTTTTCACAAATGTCAAAAGCAACAATGCCAAATGTGTTTTTCCACTAAATGGAGGCTGTTAAAATAAAATACAAAAGAAAACAACTTTAAATTTATTCTAAAAATATTCACAGTTATTATTTTTTAATTTACTAATTATATATTTGTGCTTGCTCTCAGACTTCTTCTCTCCCTAGTGGATCGATCATAGATCGAGAGATCCAACTTTCATTCGACGATAGGAGGAATGACGTTAATATTTGTAGCCTTTTAGTTTACCAATTTACCAAACCTTGCGCCCAGACACATAAATAATTCAAATTGGTAGAGTGCTTTTCATGCTAGTATTTAATAGTGGACCTAGAACTTTGAATATTCGACAGCCATATACACGAAATAATACTTTCTTGGGACAAGAGTTTTCAACCGACATCAGAACCTCAATTGTGTCTATTTCTGGAACCTATTCCATTATTGCTTTGCATAATACTATATTTTGGATTGACGAAGTACTCATGGTAATACCATATCTCCCGAGCAACGGACTATCAATTACTTGCACGATGATTGACATACAAAGTTCATAGACCTGTTTTAAAGCATAAACCTTGAGTAAATGAACTATTACTGAACCGAATTTATGGAAATTGCTTTTCAGCGCAATACTTGCCATAAAATACGATCATATTTAGCTTGTAAACACCGTATATACATATATATTTAATGTTGTATACATATGTACATATGTATTTACATTCAGCATAGGCAAATGTGGTACTGAATTAGTGCGCGTACTCGCAACGTGGTAGACGACATAAAACAATATTTGCCCTTGTGTGTCATTTGTTGTCAGTGCAGCAATCGGTATTGGGTCGTTAATGGGTTGGGGTGTACTTAAAGAGGCAGCAAAAGTCATCATATGCCTATACACACACTTACATACCTCAAATACGTTATTTACATACATACATAACGTTTCTTCCAACTATGGCAAATGTGTTGTTATTTTAGTAAATGGTCTTGTTGTTTTAATCTTATTAACTGCTGTTGTTGCCGTTCACATAAGTGGGTATGTATGCACGTTGGCGCTGGTGCTACTGTTTTCGCGGCGTTTCGAACGACGCAGACTCAGGCCAATGCCGCTGAGTGCAGTCAATGGTCCGCGAATGCGAAATATTCTACCTACAAACAAAAATAGAGAGTCGAATTGTCAAACAGCAGACAGCAAGATAGAGTGGCATACCCTCAGATCGGCAGATCGGCAGTTCGACACACTGACAGCTCAATAGAACATGCCTGCAACATATGGCTTTGTGGCTTTGAAAATAAAAAAGAAAACGCCAGAGAAAAAAACACAATTAACAGTGATGCGGGAAGTAGGGCTGTAAGCTGTTGAACTGAAATAAAACAGAAATTTGTGCCGAACATTGAACACCCTGCAGGAAAAAGCCAACTATTTTCTGTGTCGCTTTTTAATTTATTAAGTCTCTGCCTGCAATCTTGCAGTTTTCAGGAACTTCACTTTTCTTTGAACAACTGGTAATCTTTGGTTTGTTTTACTGCTCTCCAGCGGATGACGAATCGAACAGAGCTACGCTAACTGTCGAGTTTTATATTGCAATGTCATTGGCAGAGTCAGCTAGCTTCCTCAACTCACTTTTTGAGTGTGTCAAAGTAGTACCAAGTCACCATGAATACGATAGCTTAGCAAGTATATGATATACATTTGAACTTTCATGGTTACACAGGTTTTCTCGTGTAGAAAAACTTTTGTTTTAGTTAAAATCTTAACTTAGAACTTGGATGAAGGAAAACATTTAAAATTAGATTTTGTAATAGAAAAAATTCCTTCATCCAAGTCTTTAAGAGTAAAATTTCATGAAAATCGGTTAAGTAGCTCTCTAGAAGTCTTACCAACCGACTTCAAAAACACAGTTTCAACAAAAACTCGTTTAAAGAATGGCGCACTTGACCTAGCTAGCCTCGAACGCACAAATTCTTACGGTTGTATCTCCGGAACTATTACTGGGATCAACTTAAAAATTTAAGACTATATTTTAGAGGTGCTGTCAATAAAAGTCAAATGTTGTACAAATTTCTTTCCATAACTCAAACTTTCTTATTCTCCATAGCTGGAACTCCTGAATTGGCAATATACATAAGTAAAATTTATGGAAGAAAATTTAAATTTAATTCATTTCAAGAGTTTTAGTTATGGAGAGCTTCGAATTAAAGAAGTTTGAGTTATGGAAGAAAAATTACATGAAATTTGATTTCTGTTGCCGATTCAAGAGAAAATTTTTGACCATACTGCAAAGATAATTCAACGAAATTATGCTAGTTCTTGAACTATACATTTCAGAGACAATAGGCACTTTCCTGCAGGGCACTCAAACATATTTATAGATATGTATGTATACACTTAAGTAGATCCACATGTGCTATATGGATGAAATGGGGGATAGTATATTTCTTTTAATTTTCTGAAATTTCACTATATAAATGTATTGAAATTGAGTGTAATTGATGAGTGCGATCTGCAGTTGAGTGAGTGATTACACTCGTGCACATATTTATATAGATCTGCAACTACGTGGAAGAGCAATGTGCTGAATTACATACATATGTATATACATACATATAGTAACCATATGTGATGGCTTACGTCCGGTCTGATTTGCAGGCGCAGGCGTATAACGGGAGTGAGCACTAAATACCACTGATCTCAGCAATTGAGTATATACGGTAGAGTCGTTTGAGGGCGTTCCGCCACCGTAGGAAGAAAGCTATTGCCTTAGTAGACGCGGCATGGATGTGCAGATCGAGAGCGTGTGCAATGAACGATGATGCTAACGAGCAGTTTGGATAAAACGCCACAACAATTAGGAACACACGGGTGTGCAGGCGAAAACTCGGATATAGGCACAAGTGACTGATAAAGCTGAAAAGCTGTGTACTCGCGCAAACAAATTTGTGGGCCATAGCGGCGAGCGTGTTATGAGAGCATTTTATGTTATTTTTTTTTTTTTTTTTGTGATTTGATCAAACGCTTGCGAGTATCTAAACGAGGAAATGTGGATAATTTCAAAAGCGAATATTCGTGTAGACTAGTGCGAGCAGAACTTGAATATTTCGAGGTACGAATATAAAATGTTACGAGCTGCAAATAAGTTTATTGTTTTTAAGTGAAAAAGTGTTTATATTAAGTATACATATACATATATGTATGTGCATACATATATTATGCAAAAAATTTACGAAAATATTTTAATTTGAATATTTTGGATATTAAATAAATAATTTTTTAAATAAACAAAAATTAGTTGGTGAACAAATTTGTGGCATGTGGAATTTTCATAGCAAATTTTTTGAAGATATGCTGTACACATCTTTTATATAATAAATGTATATACATATATAGAAGTATATATATGAGAAACATACATACTTATATGTATGTATATGTATATATACAGTTAAACTAATTTAACTTAAAAAAATTACGTATTCTGGATACACAAAACATATAAGTATACGCATATAAAAACTTAAATCTGTGAATACCAGAAGCGCCTCTGTTTATAAAGAATGTGTTTGAATCCAGCGAGAAAGCATAAAGCCGAGACAGGAAGAGCACAGCGCACATGCCGCCATTAAAGAAAATCACCGGATATATGTGAGACATTTTAATTAATACTAAAAATGCTTTAAAGGCCACAAAACAACGAAAAGATAATAATTGAAATGAGAAAAAACACACACATGCACAAACAGGAGAAGATATAGCGCGTCATATATTTTGTAAAATGTATATAAATACCAAAAATCGACGTATGTTTTGTACTTTCTTCTCCCATACATGCATATATTTTTACATACATACATATGGTGTATATATTTAAGGTCTACGAGCGTTTGGCAAAAAAAGTGAAAAGTGCAAAAACTCAAAATCCACTCGGTGAAATCATGAATGAGTTAAATAACTAAAAGGAAAAGAAAGTATTTCAAGTGTGTGCTGAAACAACAAAGTGCACTGAAACGCTTTTGAAAAGTCGAAGAAAGTGAAGTGCTAGAAAATATAAAACCTTAGAAGCGAAATTGCAACGCAATGTCAAAAAGCAAAGCAAATGCCCAGAACAAAGACGTGCACTGTTTTTGTAAAATTATATACAGTGAATCAAAAAAGTTTTGGCACGGGCGTTGTCTTTGCTGAAGAGTGTATGCAGAATTGAAAAAAAAATAAAAAAAATATTTTAACCAACTTTTCAACGCAGTTCGTAATATTAGCTTGCATACATACATACATGTATATCATAATAAGCAAAATATTTTCCGTTATTTGATAAGAAAAGCGAAATGCATGTAAAGCACGGCTAAACGCTCTTGAAGAAGGTTCTGCATTAATTGTGAGTGAGCTAAGCTTTTGAGATATATACGTTTTTTTTTTAAAATTTTTTTTCACTCCATTCGGCTTATTACTCATAATTATTTTAAAGTTGTTCGAAATATTATAAAACAATACATCAACACCGGAAATTTAGAGCGTGAAAACAGATCTGAACACCCAAAAAAATACACACCACGTCAGAAACCAGCTGTTATGGTGAGCCGCAGTGACTCAGATTCCGAAGGTTTCGAAAAAGCTTTGAAAAAAACTTTGACTCCAAACTGTAAGTAACACTTTGCACAAAGCTGGTTATCATGGGATATGAATAAAAAAAAGAGGTTGGAGTTCGCGGAACATAATGTTAATCAATCGGAATATTTCTGGAAAAAGATAATATATTAGACGAAAATTTTGGCTTCAATGGTGCGCTAGAAAGTTGGCGAAAACGAAACAAAGAGCTCCAGGAAAATAATATAAATAACTGTGAACTATGACGGCGGTAAAGTAATGATTTGGGTGTGCATTGCAGCGTCTGATGTGGGAAATCTCGTTTTTATTGATGATAAAATGGATTAGCACTCTTAGTTGAAAATTAAACAAAAAAAAAAAAATTTACTCCAAACGTGAAAAAATTGGTCTTAAGTAGGCAGTCATTCTTATTTCAATAAGACAATGACTTGAAACATGGGTTAATCTTCTGCAAGAATGGCTTCTCTACCATTGAAAGCAATTAAAAGCACCTCCGCAATGCCCAGATACTACCCCTGTAGGACTCACCATATAAAATCGAAGGATTCACTTAAAGAGGCTTTACGTACAGAATTGGCAAATATAACTCCTGAGCCTAGTCGACGCATGTGGCGACTTTTAGAGGCTGTTATTCAGGCCAAAGGAGGCTTAACAAAATATTACAATTAAAAAAAAAATCGGAATCAAAACAATATTTTCCATATGTGTGCCTAAGCTTTTTTATGTAGAATCTTCAATATTTTTATTATAATTTTATTATCTTAAAAATATGTATAAATGAAATGTCTTATAATTAAATATATAATAAAAATGTTGAAATTGAAACATATGATTATTATTACTTTCGTAAATTCAAAGAGATGTCTGTTATTTTTGGATAAACATTTAAGTTGTTTGTGTGTGCCTATAACTTTTTTGAGTCACTATATGTACATATACATATATATATATATATATCTATGTTTATATGCATGTATTCTGAGGATTTTTGCATTTTGCGCGCGAATATTCATTCATGCAAAGTTTTTACATACAGCTTTCTATACACAACGCAAACATATGTATGTATGTGCCAAGTGCCGGTGAGGAAAATAGAACGAAATGAAGTTTTGGTGAATTTAAGATTTTCAGCTCAATAATTTATATTTTTAATTTTTGAAACCTTCAAATTAATAGTAATCATCTATGTAGGTATGTAGAGTGGCTCCTAGGTTTTTAGGAAGCTCATTATGAAACCACAGAAAGTAAAGTTCCTGACTCTATTATCTGCTCTCTGAACCACCCCGGGCTTTTGAAGAAGTTGATCGGTGTGAAAAGTTTTATGTGTGCAAACTACGAAATCTCATCAAGAAACCATCGACCAATAGTTGCCACTCTTTTCCTACACATAGCCTTACATTTACATAGAAGTTGAATTATAGTCTATTGTTCTTCTAAATATCTCCTGGCAGCTTGTACAGTAGCCATTCCTAGTCTGCGGGGCCTAATTGCAAGGTGTGCCTATTCTGGCTTTACAGTCACCATGAATGTCACTACGTTTTGGCATCGATCGGCATCATCGTGAAACAGGATGTCAGATCCAGTAAAACATCTAAGCACTTCTTGACTTTTTTTTTTTTTGACAAATCACTAAGAGGCTCTAGTGTGATTTTAAAGCCGCTTGCCCATATGCAAAAATATTGCTTGTTGTGAGTACACTCCTTGTCAGAACAAGAAGGCTTTTTTTATTGCTTAAAAGGGCACTGCTGCGGTTTGGTAGACGGAAGGCAATTTTGGCGTTTGATACTTCTAATTTAAAACTATTACGCAGTTTATTTAAAGTATTTTTCACAATCAGTCATTTAAATATTCGTTAGAGGGTTAGAATCAGATAAGGTTCTTTGGATGGTACATCAGTTAGATAAATATTTTGTATGCAAGGCGATTTTTTATGTAAAATTATTTGATTTGAATACATCCCATTTATGGTCATAAAGAATAACATCTGACTTAATGTTACGCAGGACCAACATTTTTATTACATGTTGATAACATTTATAGACTTTTAAAACAACAAAAAGTTCCCATCGCTGACTACAGAATAATTTCCTGTAAGGTATTTTTTCGTTGACTTTGTTTGTATGAAGTGTTTCTAAAAGTTCGAAAATATGAATAAATCTCGCATTTTGTTATGATTTTTTTTATGAATATTCCACACAAATTTGTTTGTATAAATGAATATATACATATATATTATA